CTAGAACTTGAGTGACCTCTAATTATTTTAGACCATCAAAGACCCAAAATATATCCAAATGTGTTTTTCCTATCAGGTCATGTTTGGGTTCTAGGTATATGGCCGTGAGTCAAAACTAACCCGGAGCCCAACCCTTGGTAGCTATTCTGTTCATTTTCCGTGGGAAAAACAGAAGAAACAGCCATTGGCCATACGTACCAGGACCTTCATTCCAACAGGTGGTTAGGCAGGACACCCCAGAAGGCCCTGCCTCAACCTCTAAGAGGCCATTGAAAGACACCAAAAGAATGGAATTTCCTGGTCTCGTTCGATGTGACCCGCTTCTCCTTCGCCCCATGGAACGACGAGACCCGTTTCCGTCGATGCAGCTGAGGAACGGCCCCAACAGCTTCTGCAAGCGAAATCCCGGCCAGTTCCTTGGGCGAAAGACTTCGCATGGTGCGTGTGTGTGTGTGTGTGTGTGTGTCCCACCCTGGACAAAGGGTCTTACACCACCACTCTTCCCATTTTACACAGGCAGGGGGGCAATGCACGACTGACAGACATTGCCCAACGAAGACGCTGTCAGCTCGTGGTGAAGCAATGCGGGACGCCGCATTGTGTACCTGCTCAATGAACTTTTGCACACGCTGTCCACTCTTTTGGTTTGATTCATGGTGGTTCCACATGATACTTTCCCCACAAACAGGTTTCCCACTGCACTGCAGCTGCTGACCGCCGCTTCCACTTGCGCTTGTCGTGAAACCTGTGTTAAACAATACAGTTTAGGCTGACCTTTCCACCTTGCCGTTCCATCGCCTTCCTTCCCATTGAGACAATTGCGTTAACTGAAAACCCAAGTTCGAAGTGTGTCCTGCTCAGCCGTCCCACTCGGGTGCTGAGTGTGATCCCGTCACAGGGGCGCCGTTCTTGCATGGGAAAGCAACCACCCCAACGCACCACCGCTCACTGGAATATCACAGGAAGGCACCGACACCCTCACAGAATCAACCGCCACACCGGCCGCCGGGCCAAAAAACGGTTCTTGAAGAATCCTTCAGATTCCAAACTTCTGATCTCAGATTTCAGCATTCAGTTTTCTTTTCATGTCTTCCAATCATGTGCGTGTTTCTATGTTCGCTATGTTGCTGCCGCGATTCTTTCATCGACAGAACTCAAGGATGGGCATTACAACTCTTCAGCTTAATTCGAGATGCATGAACACACACCAACAAGCTCACATTTAGCACCACCTTACGACATATTCACCACTGACACCAGAGATGACACCTTCAACAACAACAAGACAATACAACTCGGCACTTCTCCGCTGCTTTTTGCTGCCGCGCCGCGCCGCGCCATAGCTACGACCACGACATGCATTTTCCGTGGCCCTACGCTCACACCACGCCACCACCATTACCTACCACACAACCTCAACCCACATGGCCGATGCCACAACCATCAACTGCACCCACCTTTCCCTCGACACAACCATCGGCATACCCTCACCCACAACCACAACCATTTCAACCACCACCGTTTTTGTCCAACCCTACCGCCACTGCACTGACCTACGGCACACCATCCACTTGGACTTTTGTCCAACCATGTCACGTGCCACCGCAACCCACACATCCAACTCCAGTGTTTCCGACAGCAGCACCTCCCCCGTCCTACCTGTTGCCACCACCTCATCCCACACCACCGGCTGAACTTCCTCTTGCTGGTGTATAGCTGTTACCCTGGTTACCCCTGAGGGTTTTGATTTTTTTTGATGGGGACATTGACTGAAAACTTGGTGTTGGGATTTTGACAACATGATGCTGGGATGGCTCATAGCCCAGTTCGTTGGGTGACTTACCACTGTTGCTGTTCAGCTGGGTGGATGTGAATGACAACCTTGGGACCTTGGAAAATACGGCTGATAACCTAGAAAACCTGGATGGCCTACCTCAGCTGATGGATGTGAACCTAGAAAATACGGCTGATAACCTGAAACCTAACAAGGTTGATATCAGCCAGTCATACAGCGAACACTTGGCAGCTTGCGTTGGGACCTTTTATATAATCTAGCAATGAGCACAGTTGGCGCAGTCTTGTTGGGGCACAGTCGTTGGCACTAAGCGATATTACATAGCTCGTTGGCACTTGAGACTTAATCATCTATTTAAAATTTAGCGCTGTGAACTTCCTGTATCGTGGTGGTAGTTTTGGCACTTGCGATTGAGAATGACAGACAGTGTTGAACCCAGCAAAGTCCTTGTTGGGGTTTTGCAGGGTTGGTTTGATGATGTTCGACCACAGGTTCATGGTTTATCTTTCCATATGCTACAGAATGATGGGTGTATTTTTCAACCTCGTATCGTTCATGAATCATGAGTTGTTTTTTCCATGCATGCTGGCATGTCATGCTGCAAGGGCATTTGGGCGGGGCAGGGCAGACAATTTAATCCGACAGCCATTTTGTTCGAGCCGCCATTTACGCTTTGCCCATCTTTGTCCCACCATGACGCACCAATGGGAAGGGCCCCAATGGAGGAAGACATGGCAGCAAGAGGAACAGCACTTCAACTCCAGGCAGTGGTCGCTGCACAAGCTGGAGATCGACTTTGAGGAGAAGTCGGTGACGGAGGTGTGGCGAAAGATGCGCCCCGGAGACCGCCATGACAATGGCGATGGAAATGGAAAAGGAAAAGGTGGAGGAAAATATGGAGGAAAAGGTGGAGGAAAAAGTGGAGGAGATGATAATGATGGTGGAGAAGAGGCGGCCAAGAAGAAGCCTGCGGCGCTGAAGGTGAAGAAGGACAACAAAATTAAGAAGACGGCGAAGAAGGGCTCGTCGAAGTGATGAGACGACGATGGCGGATGATGGAGATGAAAAAATATGAGCTGTCGGGGTCATGCTGCTGGGTCGAGGTCACCATGTCACGTTGTCATGATTTGTGAGCCGTCATGTCTGGCATGATTGTCATGTCACTCACTACGTTGTCCATGACGCATCCATGATCGGCCCAAGCCTTTTGAAGCCCTCCTTCTTGTCGGCGACTTGGTCGGTCTCCCACTCAGCACTTAGTCTAAGTATACACTCTGCATTCGGCCAGTCAGTACACAGCCAGCATGCATGACCACAAAGCTATCAGCCATTTGACCCATTAAGGTGTGATCATCATGGCAGATGTGGATGCCATCCTGCTTGAAACTGTGAAGGCAGGCTGGCATTTCTGAGATGTGTTGATAATTCATGTCAATGACTGACGTTGACAACGTCAGGAATTTCACAAAGCGCTGCATGAGCCATCGGACATGCCGAAGAGGGCAAATTATGGAAGGTTCTCAGCAGCTTTCTTGACAAAAACATGCAAACAATTCAAATGCGGCCTTTGATTGATTTTGTTGTGATTGTTGTTGAAGGTGATCTTCTTGAAGGCGCAGAGTTTCGACTCCAACGGGAGCTGACTGAAGATGAGGCGCTGTGACTGATCGTTGCGACATGTTCTCAAGTTTGGAGTTTTTAGTCGTTTTGGTCAGAAAGACAAGCTGGAGAAGGAGATGACGAAGTTCTGTGGCCAACCAATCATTGCGGTGGAGGCGGGTTTCTCCGAGTTCTGTTTCTCACTGCCATCTTTTGATGTTGCCTGCTTGACAGGCGCCGCCACATCTTCACCAGTTGCTGGAGGCATCAGTTTCGTTTGCTGGTCTTAAACAGCGCAACCTGGGTGTAGCAAAAGAGGCTTCAGTTCAAATGCCCAAACAGATGTCACAAATTGTCATAACAATCTGGTCGAACGGGATCTGGCATGAGATGGTGTGAGTCTGAGAGCCGTTGACCGCCTCAAAGTCCAAAGGACACGCGTGTCACTTGTCGCCGATTCCCATGGCCCAGCAGCAGCATGCACTTGTTCCGTGGGCCAAGGCCCAGCCGGCGGCACCAATGCCGCAGCCGCCGACGGTCCAGAGCCGCGAACTTTGGCACAGAGTTCTACTTTCTGTGAAGCGTTGCCTTCAGAGCCCTATAGAGGCTGAGCTTCGAGATTGGAGCTTGTGCTGTGCTTTAACAGCGTTTTGGTGTTTAGTAGACACTATAGAACTCTAGTTTAGAGATGAGTATTGTATTGACTTGACTACACTTTTAAACTTTTAAAGGTGGGTTCTCACCATCGCAACTCAGGAAATGCACCATGCAAAACCCACAGATTGAAGAAGACGGCCAATCCGGAAGTTTGAGAAATTGCAGCCACTTCCACGTAAAGTGTTTGTTTGAATTGACTATGCCTGAGTTCGTGCATGTAGCCTCGAATCAACGCTTCTTGGACCAAATTGAATATTTTTTGAAGGTATTTCAGAATGTCATGAGGTGTCCCATGGAGCATTTGAACCAGCAGCCCCCCTCCCCTACAAATGAAATTTTCATGCGATCGTCATCGTCGTGAGGACGACTCTACGTGATCCTGAAAGCCTTTGAGTACAACGTTCGGATGCAGAGAGTTCCCGGCATTTCGGAGCAGCGCTTGGCTCCCTTCTTGCAGTTGCTGGAGGACTTGGTCAATGCTTTCCGGCTCGCGTGGGACCACCGGTCGGCGCTGGAGATGCCGAGTGCGCACGACTACATTTCTATGAAGCTGCCGACTCTTGTCTTTACTTGACCCTTAACCGTTTCAAAGGTGTTTCGCTAATCCCAGCAATTCTGCTAGAAAAACTGGCAATCTGGCGGCCAATTTTTTTTTGTATGGTATATATGAGTCATCAGCCAGGAATGAGTATGTGTATTGGAGCAACAACTGGTGGCTCATAGATGAATGGAGTCAATGGTGGGAGAAAATCTGCTGAGCTCTGTGATGTCTCTGCCAGTTGCCAGTAGCTGAGCTGATTCATTGCATGAATTTCTGGAATTTTGGCTGGGGTTGCGGCGGTTAGGTTGCAATTGCATCCCGACCTTTTGCAGACGACCCCTTTGTCAAGTTGAGCTCCGTCCAAGGTCATACATTGGTCATACATTGAAAAGGTACGTCATACATTGAACACACATTGAACACAGATGATGAGAAAACCAAAGATAGTGACATTCACCAATCATTGGAAACCGATGAGGAAAACCCAGGCCTGATGCCCTGTCCGAATGACCGCTCCAAGATATAGCGAATTTTGGACTTTGGACCGAGCTCCGTTGGTGGTACCGCGTTGGAGGCTTGATGTCAATGCCATCGAAGCACGATGCCGGACAATGGTGCACAGGTGTTTTGCAGCTTCCGCAGGTGTTTCCAAAGATATCTGTGATGAACCATGCATAGAGATCTGTGATGCATCATGCACTCACCACCGCTTTTTCGGATAAGCGAACCGACGAGCTAGCACCAGCTAGCTGGAATTTCCTCAAGACAAGAAGAGCGCCGCGTCGCGTGAAAATTTCATTTGTAGGGGAGGGTGGCTGC